TGAATTTCCTTAAGAACCCAGTCAGCAGAGTAAATACCTGTGTTCTATTGATGATCATTTTTCATACAAAATATACACAGATGGGATCCAGTGGCATTAGTATGAGAAACACAAATTTCAGCATAAATAGTCATTTCTTACAGAGAATTAATCACAGGTTTCAGTAAAAAGTCTTATTAAATGTCAATAGGAAAAACACAAAAAACATTAAGAAAATGATAATCATACAAAAACTAATGTAGTAAATGTAAAATTAATTCATGCAAAAATATCTTATTGATGGGCTCCTATTTTTATTTGCACCAATTACTGGAGCATCAGCTCATGAACTGCTTTTAACAAATATGAATCATTGCTGTTCAAACAACTTAACAAATGTCTTGTATAGTCTTTCTAATACATATACATTATATAAGTTAGTATACTGCAAGGTACTTACAATGTAGGCATTGCAGTAAGAGAAGGTAAACATCCTCTCAGTAATAAAAACAATGCACAAGTTAACAGATTAAGTAATTATAATAAAGAGATTCTACAGAGTCACAAGTGGCAATAAAGTTACTTTACATTATTTTAAAGACAATACCAATTTAACTACATGCCATTTTTAATTAGCTATGTTCCCAATGCAATGCAATGATACATAAATCTAACCTTATATATATTGCAAACCAGCATTCGTCTGTCTTCCATAAAAAAAAGCTGTTCACGCAGGCAAACCTCAACATTCACTTTTGATGGCACATTTTATTTTGCAAGCAGGTTATTCTACACTAAATTGTTAGGAATTAATCACACTATCATTCACATTTCAAAATGTGACATAACTTGAAGAATGAAAATATAGAATTACAACATGTTATTGCTGAGCAGCTCTTAGCATGGCTGAAATACTCAACAGTTACTTTTCACGGTGGACAGTATAAGCAGATCAAAGCTTTGATTCTTGAGTGAAACCAAGAGTGCAACAGAATTAACCTTTTTAAAGTACATGAAATAATTTAAATTGATAGATTAACTTAAATTTTCCTGTCACTGAGGGCAGGTACTTTCGCTAGATTAACTTAAACTTTTCCCATCACTAGGGATGGGTACTTTTGCTTGTATTTAATGTTTGCAAGCATTCTACAGTGTAAGTCTCTGCTTTTTTTCTGAATCACTTTTCTGACATTTTTTTGTTTAAGTTATGGAACATCTAATTAGAATTAAAGAATTTTTTTAGTTCATAAAACCTTTCATGTAAATTATTTAGATTATGCAGTAACCACTGGTGGACTATAATTCAACTTAAAACACCATGGTGTCGTATAACAGACAAGTAACTTGCTATCTCTAAGTGCTGGAATGCAGTGATAATGTCAAATTTTGCTTCCACTTACACAATTTCACATATACAATATTACAGCTATCATTTTCTTAACCAACAAACTAATAATACGAAAAAAGCATATATTTCAAAATTTTACTGGACTAACCTCAACTTGTAAGTCTTCTTTGATGACCTGAAGGATATCACTAAGAGGTGACTTTGGTGCATTGGTATGAAGCACTTTCAAGGTAGAAACATATTCTTGGGGAAGTAGATAGTCTAATGCTCCAATGTGTTGCCCAACTTTGATGAATGCACCACCATTTTTACAACACAAATCCAGTAGCTTTTGGGCTGACCGGGTGTGAACCTGTATACACATGTACGTGTGGATATATATATATATGTGTGTGTGGAGAGAGACAAAAACTCAGATACGAATAACATACAGTATCATAATGACAACTACTTCTACACTTCATCAATGACAATAATTAACATGTACAAGTAGTAAGAAAAACAGTGTTTTAACAGGTTTTTCTTTATGTGCACAAGAACAGTGTCAAAATTTAAAATTATCAACTTAAATGACAAATTTACCTTTGTTTCACAACTATACTCACTATTTTTCATAACTTATATCTGCCACATGCATAATTCTAATAAAGCAACTGACATACATATGGATAATCTTCACTTCAGAGCTCTTCAATCATTACACAATTCTCCTGCAAATCTCACACTAAAAGACAAATAACTAATTAAGAACATTAAGTAAGACTTGGATACCTTTCACATAATTTTCAAGCATACAATATGCTGTTTCTTCTGTATTATGCTACATTATATATATGTGTATGTATGTAGGTATATATATATAAACTATAAGTATACCAAGAAGTCAATAATAAAAATAGAAAACCTTAATGTTTGAATCCTAATTAACAGAATTATTATTAGAACCCCCGACACCTACTTTCTGTGAACTAACAGCAACTATAGACAAAACCAATGTTCAAATCAAATATAAATAATTACAGCTAATAGGTTTAATTATATCAAGGAAATGTTAAACTTGTACTTGTCATTTACAAGATATATGCTGAAATAAAATAGGTAATACCATTTCTGTGCCTGGATGACTGTGAATTAAGAAAAAGTTACACTGATTCTTAAAGATTCAGGCTGTCTACTAGTGAGCTGTACCTCATTATATATATAAATATATATATTTTGTTAAACAAGACCGATGTCTGTAGGTTTACTTTCTTCTTAGAATTCTTCTCAAGAAGTCGATAAGCTGTCTTAACGTTGTTAGAACAACGGGTAAAAGTTGTAGCTAGTGATGAGTTGGCCGACGTGTTTCGATTGCATTCTGCATCCATTATCAAGGCTGAATGTTGTGTGAATTGTGCTTACTGTTGGTGGATATTTATAGGTATGGGTAACCACCTGCTTACTCTCACATGAGTGTAAAAGCTTGAAAAAGACAAGAGTTTAGAAGTATATCTTTTATTTATTGTTAAAAATTGGTTTGGTTTGTTTAGAATTTTATGCAAAGCTATTCAAGGTCTATCTGTACTAGCCATCCCTAATTTAGCAGTGACAGAGTAGAGGGAAGGCAGCTCGTCAACACCACCCACAGCCAACTCTTAGGCTACTCTTTTACCAATGAATAGTGGGATTGACAATCACATTATAGCATCCCCACAGCTGAAAGAGCGAGCATATTCACTGCCAGAGGTTCGATCCCACAACCTGCAGATTACAAGTTATGCACCCTAACCACCAGGCCAAGCCAGACCCATTGTTATAAAAGTAATTAAAATGTAAAACTTATAAACTTATTAGCATAGACAGGGAAACTTCAAAAAATTATATAAATAAAATATACTTAATCAATGATAATATGAAATTTTGAGCAGAGTAAAGACACACCTCACCTCGTTGAAATATTGGTTCAAAAGAAAGAAATGGAGCAACGTCCGTTAAAATGGCTGAGAGAGCCACTAGGGGGATATTCTGAGCTTCCGATTGGTTATTCATGTCATATATAAATACTTAATTTAAAAAATTGGACTTTGTGTACAAAAGATGTATAATGTTTACTCAAAGATGGACAAATAATATTTGTGAAGATATATTTACATTAAGAGTTATAGTATGTACTTTCAAAGTAACCTGGTAGTTGCAAGATCAGTCAAAATGACTGAGCCCATATATAATCAGCTAACAATTGACTGTTACCTTAAATACTACATCATATTCTTAAAACAATGAATTACTGTGTAAAATGAGAGCTTAATAATGGTGTATATGCACCATTTGCAATGTTTAATCAAATAAATTTTCTGTCATACACCAACACTTATTAATTTTTCAAAGAAATGCATGATAATACAATTAACTATAATAAGAACAGAGCTTTCATTAAAATGTTACTGTCTATGATGATTTCACTTGTAAGATATACTCTATTCAAATTTTACACATTGAATTTGAATGCACTTAAAGACAGAGTACAGCTAGTTAAAATCAAGAAATGAGGAAAATTTTCATCTTCTAGAAATTCATTTAGAATATAAATATCCAAACTAATATCAGATAAAGTATTTACCTCAATATATTTTTACGTTTCTACAATATTTCTGGTTATATATTTTAAATTCTAAAATAGGAGATTATTACAAGTCATCATTTTAAATTTTATAATATAAAAGCATAACTACTATATTCAACTTAAAATGTTTCAAGCTCCAACAACAACAGTGACAAAAAGTCAATATTTATAAATTTTATTCATAGTACAATAATACTAACACCACTTGGATATATATTAAAAAATGGTAAATGTAATACACATTTTTATAGTAAGAGGCAAGTAAATTGCACATTTTTGAAACAAAGTTTATTAAGTATTTATTATTAAAATATATTTTTAATGTGATATCTATGTATTACAATATTTCTATTTTACCTTACTATATTCAATTATAAGTATAACAAAAGTCAGTACTTTTTGTGTTCTTAACTCTCTAAATTACTGAACAAAGATAAGCATTTACCTAAAAAAAAACTCAGCTGAAAATAGAAATATTAATCTTAAAGACTCTCTTGTAAATTTACAAAGAAAGCAAAATGAGAGGACCCACAAGTAATACACCTATGTACCACATACACACTATTAAATATTCTTTAAAGAAAATCTGAAAATCTAATTTTCCATTTGAAAAATAAAATTGCGAAATATCCCAAACATTTTTCTTTATAAGAATAACAAACACAAAGATTTTAGACATACAAATATTACCTATAAATTGCCAAAACATGTCACACAGTGGTGAAGATTACAACTATAGACTACATATAATATTTTTAGGTTGAATCAGATTTCTGTACAAAGACTATCTCCACTAACTCTCACTAATTTTCAATTGATAGACTAGAGGGAAGGCAGCAAGCCTGAAGCACCCAATGTTAACTCTTGAGCTACTCTAATTGAATAGTGGGTTTTGACTATCATTCTTTTAACACACCCATAGCCTCGAAGTACAGAGAGATTTTGTGGTAACAAAATGTGAACCATGGATCCTCAAATTCAGTAGCTTGTTAAACACAAGTACAGAGAGATTTTGTGGTAACAAAATGTGAACCATGGATCCTCAAATTCAGTAGCTTGCTAAACACAAGGCCATGCCAGGTCAATAATATTAAAAGGTTAGCCAAAAAATATAAAAGCCACACAGTGGTTATATAGTTTAGATAAGATTTTCTTTCATTCTAAGGAGAGACAGTAAAAACTTACAACAAAGACATAATTCTCTCATGAGGAAATTTTTCACCTGTATAATTAGGTATTTATTGTTTTTAAATCTGTCTTACAGTATGCATTTATCAAGTTTTTGATTGGAAGTGCATGCTAAAAAACTAGAACAAATAAACATTTGCAACAAGTAATATGTAATTAAATTATACAAGTCTGTCAAAAATGTAATGAAACAGACCTAAGGATTCAATCTATTTTGTACTCAGCCAAAATCTAAATGTTTTAATAGCACATAATAGTCTACAATTCTACAACCACTGGACTTTGTTTTATATTCTTAACTAAAAATGCTCTTACCTCTGATTTTAAAGTTTGGTAATCTAAAGATGACTTTGACACCCCTCTTAGAGATATCTTGTAATCAGCAGCTATCTTCCCCACCTTAAAAAAATACATAATTTTTTCTAATGTTAATTCCAATAATATTTCAAACGAACATTGCATTGAACACAAGACCTGGGGGCAATTTTGTGCTTCCAGTACATTAAACAAGAACTACTGCATTAATTGGTATTGACATTCATAAATATGACAAAAAAAAAAGAAACTATTCAAAAGAGAATGTAGCCTAACACACACACAGTAATGGTGATTATCTCATGAATACTAACATTATAACTGGGTTCTATATTCGATCATTACCACAAAGACATCAAAAGCATAAGATGTATAAGAAAACAAACACTTTTTAAAAATGTTATAAGTGTGCACTGGTTATTAACATTTACAGGTCTTGACGCCAACATAATCATCTGTCTAGATAAAGTTATGACTAAAACAGAAAGAGAGATTATACAGGAAAAGAGGAAAAACATCTGATTGGAAATACCAAAAATGGCCAACTAAGTCTTAGAACAAAATTAAAATGGGGCCAAGCTTAAAAATAGTTTTGTTTGCTGTAACCATAAAATGATTTAAAATGTGGGTAGGTAGGTAGATAATAATATTTTTTTCTCAATTGCTTCACAAAAATATTTGGAAATAACTAGTTTTGTGATCACCTAAAACATAACATATTAAAACATGAATACAATTACTGTCATTTATTCTATGAAGAGTATTACAGAAATTTCAAATTCTTTCACAACACACTTGCTGGTCAACATCAACCTTGATCGATGCAGTTGAACTGACTGTTGCCAACAATTTTACGGTTTTTTCTTCCATTTCATCTTATTTGCCAAGTAAATCTACAAATACTTCTCTTCACCTGGATAAGTTTCAATCCTCAATCTAGGAGAACATTTTTCAGAGATAGAAACACTGAACAGACTTGTGTTTGTCGTGTTGTTGATGTATGCTCATCAATAGTAAATTCTCCCCTGCTAAGTCGTGTATTTAGCGTGAAGGATCCCAGGGATGAGATAAGCTAGGTTGTTAAACCTCAATGCATTGAAATTAAAAATTATGTTGAACAATTGTCACGTTTTTGTTATGGTTTTATTTAAAGAAGGATGATGTTTCAAACTAATGCTCTTTGTCAAATTGTTAAGTTTACAACAGTTTCTATACACTCTTTATGGCTAAACTTACAAACACACAATGTAGATCTATTTGACTATATCTCTCATTAATGTTTTCGTAATTGAACTATATTTTGGATGCATATTTATAAATAGCAACAGAGGCCTAGAACTTTCCACACACTATGAAATATTATGATGTATTAATACTTGAGAAAAACTTTCTAGAACATGATGCAACAATAACAACAATTGCCAAGTTAGGACAATTGAACTACACAATGTATGATTCACACAGTTACGTAAACAAACCTGCAATAAACTTTTGCTTCTAAATGTAACTAAATTGAACACTTGCTCTATATACAAATGAAAACAGTTGTGCATACCTAAAAATATTCAAACCATAATATGGCGATAAAAATTTTAAAGTCTGCAAATTTTATTATATGGGTCGGTATACAGGAAGAAATTGATTAAAATAAAAATATCCCATGTCATAATGTCAGAAAAATCTCTCAATTAGCCCCAATCTCAGAAGGTTAGTCGGGTTACAGCAAACAGAAATATTTTAAAGTCTGCTCTGGATAAAACATAGAGCTTAAAACTACATTTTTTGTCCACTGCAAAAAAAAGCAACTGTTTTAAAAACAACATTTACAATCCCTACCATTTCATTACAATGAATTTGAACATTCTGCAGACCTAGCTTACAAATTTATTAACAAACTGCATCCTTCCCTCTCTTAAACCTCTACCTGTTGACTGCTTTCATTGTTCTTCAGAACTGTTGGTAGTAATCCTCATTAAAGCTGATCAGAGGTGCTTTTGTCCAAGCTGCAGCACCAAACAATTTTTATTACTTTCATGTTTCTAAAGTCTCTGTCTCTCTCAACATGTAGTACATGGAGAATAAGTGTTACAGAAATACGTGCTTTCAAAATGTTCTTAGTCTCCTATATCAGCATCAGGGCTGGATTAAAATGCAGGGACTGGTGGAGCTGCAGTTACAGGCCCACTGACACATCTTGACACATCTAGTAATAAAAACTATTTCTATGCAAATATTTTCATTCAAAAAATAAGCATTTCCTAAAGTTGTTGTATGCACTTGTGTGTATCTGTAGTTTGTATATGATAAATAGCAAGATATCGACGAACGATGTATCCAAATTATCCTTGTGCACACATCAAATTACCTGAATATAATTATTAAAGATTTATCATCATATTATACCAAAAATCATAATGCTTGCAAGCACAACCCTAAAAAATTAAAGGATTTAATAGGATAATAATTTAAAACAAGTATGTTGTGAAAACCTATATTTCAATGTTGACTATTGATCATACCAGCGAATTTCTTCTAAAACACTCCTGCATCCATTCAGATTGTTAAATCACAAATATATTATTGGTCTTATATGTGCCCCCTTTTACAGGCTAAACCCCACCCTTCAAGAAATTGTGTATCCACACCTGACTGTAATGAAAACTTTTCCTGAAATACTATTGTTACGTATCTGCTTGTTTGTTTGTTTCTGGCAGAAATTCTTTCCGAGGATCTTCAGCGATACAAGTTCTTTCTTGATTAAATCAGTTTATTCTTCCTCGATACAAACTTTTAGTACACAGTAGTTCCACAATCAGTACGTTTCTCATCACTTTAAACTTAACAACTTTTATAATACATGTTATAAATCACATCGATTCACAATCTCGATAACTTCGCTCTTGACGAGTGCAAAACACACACTTTACGGCTCACTAGCTCAAAACTAACAGAATCATAAATTACACAGAACTCAAAGTAACTACTGCTCTCTCTTCATTCATCCCTGCTGGCTTTCCAACGCGCCAGCAACATCACGTGACTTCCACTGTCATAACACTATTAATCTGATGATAGTTGGGTAGATCTAAAGCTTGAATGGCCACTTTATTTGCTTGTTGTATTATGAACTAGTGTGAGTAGAAACACAAGAAGTTTTCAGCTCCAGGCCTCATAGGCCCTTAATCCAGCCCTGATCAGCAAATATTCACACCAAGATTGAGATACAATGTCAAGGCTTTCAAAGGAACTTCCAAATTAAGGTACCAAACTATCAAAAGATTGAATGCTACTTGAAAAAGTAAATATGAAAAAAAAATGCAAAAGTGTACTGAGCACCAATAATCTTAAATGCCATAAATCAAGTTTTAACTCTCAAGATACCAGTTAAAACTTTAAAGTCACCTTCAATATGTGTAAATCAAGAGCAGATAATAAGAACTTCCCTTTTTTCCTTAAAAAAGCCATGATTTTCTATATAAATATTCAATATCTGAAAATTTTATATTCAAGAATACTTAAATGTTTGATTGGTTGGTTGGTGTTTTATGGCGCAAAGCAGCTAGGCTATCTGCACCAAACAACTGGTAAAAGCAATGAAAGTAGATTAAAGTAAAATGTAAAAAACAGCGAGTTAAAATAAAACATGTCAGTAAAAGATTTACATAGAATTAAAAATACCAATAATGTGTAAAAAATTAAAAATACAATCTAATCGGACAGTGTCACCATTACCAATGACACTGTCCAGCGTCAGGGGTAAACTTTTAGAAAAAATGTGTCTAAACTGGTGCCACCGCACACAGTCGTAACGACGGCACGACAGTAAAATGTGGGCTATTATGACTTGAGTGTCACAATGGCTACACATCAGTGGGTCAATACCTGATAAAAGAAAACGATGGGTTAAAAAACTATGACCAATGCGTAGCCTTGCCAGGACTACTTCTTCCTTCCGATCCTTACGGAAGCAAGACGGCCAAAGACCAACAGAAGGTTTGATCTGGAAAAGCTTATTATGGCATTCTCACTCCAAGTTGACTGCCAACTGGCTGCGCCTTGAAGACAGGACCATAGTCCATGTATGGGACAGGCACGGCCGTAATGGCACCAGAGCAGACGGACTTAGCTGCGGTGTCAGCAAGCTCGTTCCCGTGAATACCGACGTGGCCAGGGATCCAGAAAAACTGGATGGAAGTAGAAGATAGAGAAAAGTGGGCCAATCGGTGTTGAATATCGACGAGAATAGGGTGAGAACTAACGTTAAGCGATTCCAGGGCCAGTAGAGAGCTAAGAGAATCAGTGTAAATAGTACAATTACTGTACTGCATAGCTTCTACATGATCCAGGTTGGGCAAGAGAAATAGCATATAACTCGGCAGTGAACACAGAAAAAGCAGCTGCGTGTCAAGTGTGCAAGGGCTCTGAACATCCTCCGTGTCCTCTCTTCCAGCTCTTGGGGAGCGGATCGATGTTATGTGCTCAGGATCTATCGTGCTTTAATTCAATCCAAACTGAACTATGGGTCTTTGGTCTATGGTTCCGCCAGGACCTCGGCCCTGAAGATGCTGGACCCCATTCACCATCTTCGGCTTCGGCTCTGCACCGGTGCTTTTCGAACTTCTCCAGTCCAGAGTTTGTACACTGAGTCCCACGAACCTTCTCTTCACCTCCGTCGTTTGCAACTTTCTCTACAATATGCTACTAAGCTTCGATCCTTACCACGGCATCCCACCTGGGATTGTGTTTTTCTTCCTCGGTGGGCAATGCTCTTTCAGAACAGATGGTCTGCTATTCCTCCATTTGGCCATCGTATCCGGGCATTACTGGCTGAATTTGGTCTGGCATTGGATGACATTGCTGTCCCCAATGATCAGCTCATTCCACCATGGCTTATTACCAGCCCATCCTGTGACCTTTCCTTGAGTCATCTGGGGAAGGCGGATACTCCCGATTGGAAGTACCGTCTTCTTTTTGCTGAACATCTTTCGAACCATTCCTCTCTTCCCATTTACACGAATGCTTCGAAATCAGGTGACTCTGTAGGTTCTGCCATGGTTTGCTGTGGCTCGGTAGTTGTTCACAGGATCCCCTCTACAGCCACACGAATGACTATATCGCCGAGACGGAGCTCGGGATCGGGGTGGAGACCCCGTTGACGGCAAAAATGCATGCAAACGGTTTTAGAAAAAGAGAATTT